TATATATATATATATATGTATATGTGTGTGTGTATATATATTCATTAGTCCGTTGACTAGTCAAAAACTGAATTTGGGAATGGAACAAGTGTTTGTGCTATGTAGCATTTGATAGGCAAAGTGATTTTTATTGTATGTTTAACAGTTCTGTAATGATTTCCTGTTTTCACTCTATATGGTTTCAAAGGTTTCTAAACTGTTCATGTTTGTATAAATATATTTTTAGATCATTTTCTAATTAATTTTTTTTTAGAGGAAGTGGGATGCAGTATTGTGTATTTCTTACTCAGAAGAGACTTTGGCCTTGAAATTACTCAACTCGCTATTTCCCTCTATTCATTAATATCTACCTAGCTAGACTACAGATGTTAAGGTCGTATGATAGAAAATTCATAGCATTTACCCTCTCCGCAGAGATTCCCGCTGGCCTTCACCCCTAACAGCAAAACAAAAACCAATGGAAGTAATCCCTCCTAACAAGGTTTTCTTTCCCGGCTGTCCTTCTGGAAACCTGGAAATATTTTTTGTTTAAACAATCACTGTAATCTCCAGCGTACACCCCATCTGACCTATCGGCCTGTTTTCCAAAGCCTGCAGCCACTCATTTCTGGCCTTGTTGTTTGTTTTTTCCTTTCATTCGTATTTTTTTCCCTAGACGGGATGAAAAATAACAGAACGGTCGAAAACATCTCACAATAAGACGGTTTGTGCAATGTTTGTTCTCGCCGAGTGTGCCGTGATCTTTTTATGGTACATAACGCTGTGTGAAAAGGCACCAAATTGTGGATTGATTCATACCGTGTCGCACATGAGGCGAACACGGATCGGGGTCGACTTCCTGTCTGCGATCCCAAACCCGATGATGGTTGGAAGTGGGCTGAGCTGTATTAAAATGTTTTGATGCATGGGGGCGGTCCAGCATGCGACAGTGACATATTGTGGAAGCTCCCGTGGGCTGGAGGCAGACAGGTAGAAGACAAATGGATATCGGCCCATGCTGTTCATCATTCCGTTGGGCTAACAGTGACCACAGCCAACTTACCCCGGCCAAGCCCCCACCATCTTCAACTCCTCCTCTCCTTCTTCTTCCTCTGAGGTGCTTGGTTTTGCTGCAGATGATGGCCACATGGTGTTAATTTGTACAGTTTGTTTTTAGCTGTCAGTTTTTGTCTTGGTAAAATGTCCTTTAAATGTAGACAATATTTTGTGTAGTCATACATTACATGCATTTTAAGCACCCTAAAATGGTTACATTGAATGGTTAGTTGACAGGGGAAAGGGGTAATGAAAATGTGCAAAATGAGAAATTGAGGAAATCTTTTTTAACCTAAATTTGAGAAATGTTTACATTTAAAATAGTCTCAATGTTAAGATATTAGGTAACATTGTGATATTCACAAATATAAGAAAATTGAGATATGAAGTCATAACTGCAAGAATTTAAAGCAGCAAAAGGTAACAGGTAACGTTTCATATACCCTACCATTCAGTATATTCAATAAATATAATACTTTACAGGATAAAGATACAGGAGACAGAATTTTTCCAGCAAGGAACATTTACAGTAAATACATTTATTATGTTACAGAAGATCCTATTTTAAAATGTTGTTGTTAAAAAAAGGTTTGGAACTTCATCAAATCTATTTATCAAAAAAAAAAAAAAAAAAACAGTTTACGCAAAAAATATTAAGGAGGACAATGGTTTTTAACATTGATAATAATAGGAAATGTTTCTTGATCACTAAATCAGCATATTAGAATGATTTCTAAAGCATCATGTGACACTGAAGACTATAGGTAATGACTGCTAAAAATTATTTACAATTTTGAATGAAATTAAAAATTCTAAATAGTAAAATTTTTTAATTTAAAATTGTAACAATATTGCTGTTTTTCCTGTAGTTTTGATCAAACAGATATAGATTTGCAAATCTTATCAGCTCCAAACCTTTGAATTATTAAATCACAATTATGATAATATAATTGATATAAAAAATATACATTATTGCTGTTTTTAAAATAAGTCTTAATGGCAAGAAATTAAGTCACAGTTATGAGAATTAAGTGCATTATAATGAAAATAAATAATAATAATTTATTATTAGTAGTAGTGGTATTACTTTACCCTGAGGTGGAAACAAGCTTTCGTAGAAAACATTTTGAAAGATATTAAACATTCATGTATTTTGAAATCATTTTGGATAGATTATATGATAGTGGTGTTTGCACTGGTCCAAAAAACTCATTTATTTTGTTTCAGAGTTTCAGTTCATTTATATCCATTTATTTTCTTTTTCACTGACTAGAAAATAACCATCTCCACTGTTTAGGCTCAGACCACTATCATTTATTATGTTGTCTTTGAAGAGGGTTTTCTGTTGGTTTTAGCCCCTTTTGGTAGTTTTAAGAGACTAAGAAGCTATAATGTGAGTCAACAATCAATAGCCTTTTGATATTGACCAGCGTGAGGCGTAACTCATCAGACGGGCCTACAGGCCACAGAACAGCCACATTTTTCACATGTGGAGGCGCTCATCGTGTGGTAATCTCTCATGGTGAGCTCTCATGTTTATACGATGCTGGATGTCACCCTAAAAAATAAACAGTATAACATAGAGGGGGATGGAGAGGTCATGCACAAATGAAGAAGAACGAATGGCTGTGGCCTGGGGACATCCATCTAACTGCTTTTCTGGAGCTGCTGGTCGTCGAAACCAGAGGCATGAAGATCATCCACTAGCTTGATCGGATGAAGGAACACGATCACAGACCTCAGCTGATTTATTTAGACAAAGATGTCACTATCCATACTACGCAAGGTAAATTAAATGTAACTAACACCTTGAAGTGCAATATCTCCAGGGAGTGATGCTTGATCCGTATCGAGCATCTGACCTTCTGCTTCATAATCTATCCATTTGTGTTCTACACTTGGATCTGAAACCAACCGTCCCCTATTATCAGAGTGCTGATGTATGTTGATTATTTTCTAAGCGACCATAAATTTGGACTATTGATTATCTATGCTTAATACAGAAAATATGTCGATGGGATTCTAATGGCTTCCATGGAAGCAGCTGTCCCTGCTAAATCAAAGGGATAGTTCACCCAAAAAATGAAAAATTTGTCATTTACTTACCCTTAAAGCAATAGTGCACCCAAAAATTTACATTGGCTGAAAATGTACTCACTCTCGGGCCATCAAAGATGTAGATTACTTTTTCTTCATTCTTTCTCACCAATTGATCCTCAGCAGTGAATGGGTGCCGTCAGAATGACAGTTTAAACAGCTGATAAAAACATCACAATAATCCACAAGTAATCCACACGACTCCAGTCCATCAATTAATGTCCTGTGAAGGGAAAAGCTACGTATTTGTAAGAAACAAATCTATCAATAAGGTTTAAACTTTATACCACCACTTCTGGCCACAATGCAAGTCCATAATCTATAATAATGCTTCCTCCAGTGAAAACATCCACTGTTGTCATCTCTCATGAAAATTCACTAACATACTTGTTTAAAACAGTTTTTGACAGTTTTTTGCCTTGTAAACAGTGCTTGATCTGTGCATATTTCTCACCTGATTCAGACTAGAATAATGGAAGATTTGGAAGCTAGAAGCAACGGTTTGAAGTTCAAAACATCTTTATGGGTTTGATTATCACAAACATTCAGGTTTTTGCTTCACAAGACGTTTATTGATGGACTGAGTCATGTGGATTATTTATTGATTATTGTGATGTTTTTATCAACTGTCTGAACTCCCATTCTGATGGCACCCATTCACTGCAAATAATCCATTGGTGAAAAACTAACTAATCTGCATTTTAGATGGCCTGATGGTGAGTACATTTTCAGCAAAGTTTTGTTTTTGGGTAAACTTATCCTTCAGTGTTATTTTAAACCCATTTAACTTTCTAAATGAATACACAATGAAGATCTAAGACAGATGCTGAGATTTCCACTGACTAATCATCACAGACATACCAGTTTGTTTCTCATCCAAAGGTTTTGTATGACTTCAGACTTGGAAGTTAATGGAAAAGATCCACTTTTGTGATGCCTTTGTGTGCTTTTGCTTCTTTTTTTTAAGCTTGAAAGCTCCAGTCCCAATTGTATATGCATGGAAAAGAGGGTAAGTAAACAATATCAGAATTTTCATTTTTGGTGAACTCTCCCAAAAATGGGATAGGGGACCCAAGGGATAATTCACCCAAAAATGAAAATTCTGTCATTAATTACCCTCATATTGTCCCAAACCTGTAAGACCTTTGTTCATCTTCAGAACACTAATTAAGATGTTTTTGATTAAATCTGAGAGCGTTGACCATACATAGACAGCAAGGGAACTACCACGTTAAATGCCCAGAAAGGTAGTAAGGACATTGATAAAACTGTCCATGTGACATCAGCGGTTCAGTATTTTTGTGCCCAAAGAAACCAAAAATAACGACTTTATTCAACAATTTCTTCTCTTCCGTTTCAGTCTTTGATGCGCGTTCACGAGAGTACCACGACATACAAGTTTTTAGCTTGAGCTTAATAAACAAATCACCTTCCAATACACTTCAAGGTGGTTCATTTGTTCCCTATTGGATTGGATGTTTTTTAGATGCAGTATGAAGAAAATATGTTTATGTTTTACACTTTTATGTGGAGGAATAAAGGTTTGCTTCTAAAAAAAAGTTCACACTTAATATTGCTTGAAGACAGGGACATTTCAAAGCACGCAGTGAGGCATCGGCCAAATCAAAGCTGACAGAAAAAGATGATGGGCAAATACTATTCTGAGCTTATCTTTGCGAGAGAGCACAGCATGGTCCATTTGTCATTGAGGGGAAAAAGACAAGGAGGATGATGAAAATGACCGAAGATACCGACCGGCATGTAACTTTTCATGCTTGGAGAGATGCTTTATGATTGGACGGTATGCAATATACCTTTTACCTTATTTTGATTCAAGTCATCCCCATTCTGAAAGAAGCATGTATTTCTTTTGGGCTCAACTTTCCATTTGCTTCTTGTTCCACAAGCTATCTGGCTGCCAGAGGCTGTGGGACCTGGTTTTGGCTCCAAGATTAGGATTGTGCTGGCAGCTCCATCCATTTAGTTTACACCAGAGTCCAGCAGACCAGGCCCATGTAACACATTGCATCCTGGGGCGGTTGATCAGTCACATTGGATGGGACATGATGAGATAGAAAAAGGGTCTTGGGTCCAATCTCAAGGCCCTTGTCACCAGCCCCCGGCCTCTATTTAACACCCTCCTTGTAGTGAATGGAAGTCTGATTTATTTCTGTGAATCAGTTCTTTTAAAGGCTTTTTTTTTAAAGTAGGGATTATATAATTACCTCATCATGTTGTCCCTGATGTCCTGGCATTGCACATTAAATGCTTTCAAACGCATAATACTGTTTATTGCGTTTTATTAGCCTTATTAAATGTTATTAGTTAGGCTATCTATTGTAGTTTAAGTGTCAGTTCATTTTGTTGCATCCATGATACAGCTCGTAAATACTAAAATGTATTTATTTATTTATTTACTCCATTCAGTTATTTGTATTTGCTTGTTTATTTGGTTTTGTTTAGTTGTTTTTGTTTAGTTATTTTGCTTAGTTGTTAGTTTATAAGTATCACTTATTTATTTTTATTGTTTATTTGCTCATTTTTATTGTAATTTGTTTTTGTTTAGGTATTTTTTTTTTTTTTTTACAATTAATTTATTTGCTTTTATTTTTTTAATTATTATGTAATTGTTGTTTTATTCATAATGTATATGATATATTAATATTTTAATGAATATTTTCATTTTATAATTTAATTTGTTTTAATAATTTTGTATTTTGTATTTTTTATGTCTATCATTTTTATTATTTTTTATATTTTAAGTTTTAGTTATTTAGTACAACTTTAGCAATAGGTGAAATAAAATAAGTTTAAGTTTTGGTTTTTATGTACATTTCAGTTAATGTTATTTCAACAACAACAACAACAAAAAGATAAAATTAATTAATTAATTCATTCATTCATGTTGATAAAATCGTCATGCAGTCAGATCATAAACATATTTCCAATACACTTATTTGTAACGTTTCTGCTACTCAGCCGTCATTGTAATTAGCTTTTTGCCATAACAGTCAAATCCTCTTTAAATAAATGACCGAATCGAATCATTCAGATGAATCGTTCAGACTGGTTTTGTGAATTGATCCATTAAAAAGGATTTAATTCAAAATAATTTATGAGTCAGACGTCCCTTTTCATGAATCTGCCTATTGTTTGGCAAGAACACCAGTAGTTTTTCCAAGAGTGCCATTTTATAGCACCCGTTTATTGTTTATAAGGTGACTTATGACATAGGGAGGTCAAGGAAACTTCATCTTTCATAAGTGGAGGCAATGACAATTTCACATGTCAATGAATCCAGAAGCGGAGGAATGTTTAATAAACTGCTTGTATTAGTTGTCTTCAATGTGGCCATGCTGTGTCAGCAGGTATAAGCCACACGTTATTTGAGGGTTGTAATTATCATCACCGTTAGGACATATGAGTGACAAGGACTTGAGAAATGGCTCTCTGAGCGTCACAGGAAATTGCACACGCGCACAGCCAGTCAGAACTGCGATTAACTACAGATTCAAACGTCTGGAAGAATTTATTCATAAGCAAACTGACCTTTTGTTTTCTATTTGTTGAAGACGCTTCACCACTCATCTCACTGGCTTTATCAGCTGTCTGATGGAGAAGAAACTACTTGGAAGTGTGTTGAAACGCCGTCAACAGATGGAAAGCACAATCCGGTGGCTTATGACTAAATTCCACCAGGCATTCTTCGATGACCCGGATTAATAAATAATCTTGCGGTTGTAATGCAGATTCATTATGTAGCATCTGTTCCCCTTCTGGACCCGGCTACCATGCTGACGTATGGAAAGCAAACGTGATATCTCATGAAAATAATTCTGAATAAATGGTTTAAGCCAAGTGGATGCATCTTGCATGTGCCAATATATTCGGTAACATTCTACAAATGCTGGGAAATGTAGTCTTCATTTATTTGTTTGTTTGTTGGTTAGTTGGTTAATATGTTTAATTTATATAGCACCTTTTCCAGTGAACCATCATTTCATACATAGAAGGACAATAGACATTTGCCAAGTTCAATTGCACATATAGGCAACTAGGTTTAGTGAAGAGTCAAGAATGATACAAAGTTTTTGAAGGTGGCAGATGGAATAATTGATGTAGCTTCAAGGTCAAATTTGCGGGCATTAGTTATGTTTTTTGTTATAGTTGGGGGGCCGACAAGTAAGGTTTTGGTTTTTGTCAAGTTCAAACTGAGAGAATTGGAGTTAAACCAGGTCTTTAACTCGTTGACATATGACAATAGAGATGCAGTCAGGTCGGCAAGCAGTATATATCTGGATATCGTTGACATAGCAGTGGTACTGAAAACCGTGGTGGTGAATAATTTGTCCAAGGGGCATAATATAAATAAGAAATAATAGTGGCCCTAGAACTGAGCCCTGTGGCACACCCTGTTTGGTTGGTTTATTTGTTTATTTATAAAAAATATATAATTTAATTTGGTTATTTGATAATCTGTTTATTTTGCTAAATTTTTATTATCATTTTTATATTCACTTTTTATTTGATTTTATTTACTTGGTTTTTATGATTTTATTTATTTTGCTTAGTTGTTTATAAGTATTATTT